CTGCCCTCTGACCTTATACTATTCTTCAGGAATCCCAACCTCTTTGTAGTTGCCCAAGACACTGTTTTCTCTCATACCTCTGGACAGTTGCACACGGTATTCCTACCACTTGGAATTCCCTCTGAGCAATTTAAGCACATGGCAAACAACATACTTCTCTGTAAGTCTCAGCTCAAATTCTGTAGTCCATGAAGTCTTCTCTCTCATTCCCAGGTCAAATTGGATGTTTTGAACAGTATTTCTCTCCTGCCTCATATAGACTTCCACTAAAGTACTTTTTGCTTTCTATGGTAATTGCTTGGAGGGTGTGATGTTTTATATTTGCATCTCCTGTGGGTGCAATGAATGAATGAACAAAGAAAACTTGATGAGTGGAGAAGAGGAAGCCTCCCAAACCTAATATGCTGAATGATAAAGAACACCCCTGTGGGACGGCCCCGTGGCGCACTCGGGAGAGTGCGGCGCTTGGGAGCTCAGCGGCGCTCCCGCTGTGGGTTCGGATCCTATATAAGGATGGCCGGTGAGCTCACTGGCTGAGCACGGTGCGGGCGACACCACGCCAATGATTGCATCCCCTTACCGATCACAAAAAAGGACAAAAAAAAAAAAGAACACCCCTGTGATGAAAAAAAAAAACAAAACTACAGCATCACCAAATCATTTCTATATATATTATTTTGAGATGACTGTATTTCTTTGGTTTTCTTTTTCTTGAGACCAAGTTTCATAAAATTTTTACTTGAAAAAAAAAATATTTTGCAAAATATAATTCTTCCAGTCAGAGAAACTTTCCCATAGTATTCATGGAAGTTTATAGTATGACATTCAAAGGGGAGAGGTTTTTTAAACAGACACCTACTGCAAAACCTACATGAAATGCCTTTAAAATGCAAAAGCAAGTAATGTAATTGTTGAATCTATTTGAAATTTTACAAGTTTCTTTAAAATGGTCCATATGGGGCTGGCCCGGTGGCGCACTGGATAAGTGCGCCACTTGGGAAGCGCGGCGGTGCTCCCGCCCGAGGGTTCGGATCCCACATACGGACCGGTTCCCGCTCACTGGCTGAGCGAGGCGCGGGAGCAACGCCGAGGGTTGCGATCCCGTTGCCGGTCCCCGGTCCGGTACGGGGGCGACACTGAGGGTTGCGATCCGTTGCCGGACACGGAAAAAGACAAAAGACAAAAAAAAATAAAAAAATAAAAATAAATAAATAAATAAAATGGTCCATATGGTATGAACAACCTCACAGCTGGTATAAAAATGCCTGTATTTATTTCAAAACACAAAAAACAATGCATATGAACAGTATTCTTTGAAAAATAATTTGCAACACTGCCACTGCATCATAAGGCAAACTTAGACAAGCGTGTTGAAAGTATTCAGAAAATTAACAAAACAAGCTGAATATTAAAGTATTCAAACATTTACCTTGACTTTTAAAAATACCACTGTTAAAGGTATGAGAACTTGCTGTCAAACTAATTCAGGACACCTTATTTCAAACTACGTGTAACATATTTTGCTATGTATACTCTAAACAAATGCACAACTAGGTTTTAGGATGTAAATTCCCATTTCCTAGGCAGGACTTAGTTTTTCTGTTGCTGTCTGGCAGCTTTGAACTTTGAAACCCTCTTTGCAGTTTCTTCTGATACTTCTGACAGAACCTCATTTCCTTCTGGAATGCTGAGTAGTACAGGATGAGCAATGGCTGGATGGGGTGTTAAGGATAAAAATTCTTTTTCTATGACAGTTCCAGAAAAAGCCTCAGGTGTTCCTGAGAAGGGCAAAAGTCTCTTTTGATGATTTTCTTGCTGTGCTTCCTCTTCCAAAATGCTGTCACTGGTGTCACTACGAGTGGCTTCTGCCCAGCTAATGCTCCTCAGAACTCCCCATGCACCATCAAATTCAGCGGCACTGCTTTCACCGGTATCACTCTTTGCAAACCAAATAGTGTTGTCCCCAAATACTGTTCTCTCTGCTTTGAGACTCCAGGATTGATTTACGAGGGACATATTCTCCATTCACAACACCAACAAGGGCTCTGTAATGACAGCAGGAGTCCTGATGGTAGGCCGCTAGTGGACAGAATGACAACGGCCAGTGCTGTTCTTTTGTTTACGTTTGGCTTCTTCTTTCTTCTCACTGAGTTTTAAAGTGGTATTTTCCAGTATTTATTTGGGTCCTTTTAGATTCAACAGTATGAGAAAAATGTATTGTTGGTACAGAATTATCTCCAACCCCTAACACATCACGGTCGTTTTCATTACCACCATCTTCTTCCTCATCATCACCATCATCTTCTTCATTACTATGGTAAGAATTTGAACAATTCACTGAACAGTTCAATTGACTATTCACTTAACCACTGAACATTTCTGAGCTTGTAACATCCTTCCAACAATTGCTGGGAGTGAGAGAGGCTGTTACCGGCTGCGTCACATTCACATTTGTGTTTTGATCTTCCTTTTCTTCTTAGATGTTGTATTTTCTCCATCCGCAATCACAGTGTCAGGCTTACTGTCAAGTTCACACAGCAATTCTTCTTGCCTCTCTAATTCTTCAAGTCAAGCCCATAATTCCTTATCAGCAAGCAAATCCTTGGATTTTGCATCATTTTAAAATCGGCTTCAAAAATGTCCGAAGTGTTGGGTTTGGAATGAGGTTTAGGAGCAATTCGGTGTTTTGCTTTGAATTCAAAGTCACTTTTAATTTCTTCTCTTATGTCAACAATAACACCTGCAGCATCACTCATTTTCTGCAAATCTGTGAATTCTACTCTAGCTTCAAAATTTTTCATCATTTTTTAAAAATCATCTGTTGTTTTTCTTACATTTCCTCCCCCTGATGTTCTGTGATTACCTGCTGTTTTACAATGGGTACTCAATCAGTAAGCAGATCAGAAGAGGACGAAGGAGAAAAGTATACAGTTCCTTATATGCCAATATAAGGTCTGGCAAAGGTCTAAGCAGTTAAAATATGTCCTTTCCAGTGCTCAACTAAACCTGGAGCCTGCTTTGCTGAGCTCTTTGCAAACCATTGTCCCCAGGTAAAACAGTGATTTCAATAGTATGGACAAGTTTTCCTGGCAGGAAGGCAAAGGGGCCAAATGGTACCATGATATTATAAGACAATTTATCAAGTAAGGTATTAAGTCTTTCTTGAAGGGCA